CAGACATTGCGGAGATGGCCCAGTAAGCCCAGGTGCCCTCCTATAAATCAGAGCTTGACTGTGGTGAGAGCAGAAATAAAGCAAAGGGCTAGCAAAACCAAGGCTGTCCTGTGACCAGCCTCAACAAACGATAGACAGAAACTGTCCTTGAGAATGCCTTTATCTCCAGAGGTTGCAGAGAGTCAGTGGGATGGAGGGGGAAGGGTGTAAATAGTGCCTGTTTGGTTTCATACTTTCTTTATTCTCTTTATTCTTTGTTTTCTGATGATAAAGGAGCTTTATATGAATATTGTAGCAAAGGAATTGATGAGTCATAAGGTTTGCAACTTCATTTCCCCCTCCGCTCCTTTTATTTTTTTCCTGATACTTACATCTTCTTCCCTCCTGCCTTCCCCCTCCTCTGCTGGCGCAGCAGGACGTGCTGTGCCTTTAAGAAGTGTGGTTTTTCAGAAGACTAATTCCTGAGCTTTGGCATGTGTTGAGGCATGCCCTAAGTTTTGTGGTGTGGTTTATTAAAAACTAAAGTGCATTGGTTTAGGGAGGTTTTTAACTCCTTTATGCTATAGATATACTTTACCTTTTTGTTCTTCGCTTGCAGAGCGTACACCATTCATCATTTCCCTAGGGATTTCTGCTCTCCTCTCCAACAGAGGAAGGGAGATAAAACTGATTTTTTTTCAATTAAAATTTCGATTTGTTGGGTTGTTTCGTACATGGAAAAGCTCTGATGAATAAAGCTGACATAGCAAATTCTGATTATGTCCTCCCACTGACACCAATATCACTGCAGTGTTAACCTGTCATTGCAGTAGCAGAATGGTGTAGCCAAAGACATGTTGACCTGTAGCAGTCACAGCATTGGCCGCTTTATTATGAATTTCATATATTGTGAATTTCTCAATGTTCCCATTCATCAACATTACTTTTTGCTTCCTTTCCCTTCTCATCACAGTCAAAAAAAAACTTGAAAGAGGACAATACAATTGTACTGTAAAAATTAACATAGCATTACATAAATAAAATTTAGGGTTTGGGGGTTGTTGTTTTTTTTGTTGTTGTTGTTTGGTTTTTTAGCAGATCTCATTCATTTGAAACCAAGTGTACGCTTGGGGAGGTCTGCTTACAGGCATTACAGGCATACCAGGAGGTAACTACAGAGTTACCCCTGGTGATTATTTTAAAAGCTGAGTTGCTACGAAGTCCTGGATCTGTATGCTAACGTTACCTTGTAATAACAGCATAAAACCTCTTGGGCTGCCAGCCTGTATTCACGTACCTGTACCGTGGTTTAGGCCTCAAGATAGCAAGCAAGTCCAGGTGAGCAGAATTCCCCTATGTCTCCGGCACCGTGGCAGCTCCAGGACTTGCCGTGCAGTCACCCGCAGGATGTGGGCCCCACAGATGAAAGAACGGTTTCTAGTAGAGACAGGCCTGTTTTTATGAGGAGAGATGTTGGAGGGGAAGGGAGGGAGCAGGAGCTAGAGCTGGATGTGCCTTCCACTCTGAGGTGGGTGTGTGGCTTTGATTAAATCACTTAACCTTTGAGCTGCAGGTTTCTTGTGAGTGAAACAGCGGTATTAGCACTGTGTACGGCATGCTGGGATTAAATGAATTAACGTAACAGTACTTTACAGTCTTGACTCTGTAAATGTGCTGAGTGCAGTTGTTCTATTTAAGAAGCTTGTAATGCTTGTTATTGAGCCTACGGGAGGGCCCCCGCCAATCCCCCGTCATCCCCTCCCTCCCAATTAGTCCGGTCAGTGCTCTTATCCCTCTCCATGACCAATAGCGAGCAATCTCTGCTGCTTAGCCTCTCGATCTTGAAGCGGTGCTGTATTGCGACAACTCTCTTCACAAGTGGCTACAGAGGAACGGCCGCACCGCAAGCCCTGGTGAGGAGCTCTGTCTTCTGCATCACCCTCCAGCTGCCCAGGCCCAAGGAGTCCCCGGCTACCCAGTCACTGCAGCATCCCCTCGGTAGCGTGCTGGAACAGGAGGTAGAGGTTCTGGGGTCTGTTGACATCTCTGCCACCTGCTTACGGGGTGGCCTTGGCAAGGCACATCACCTTTCTCTTCACTGTTCATGCTGAAATGCGTATTGTATCTTTTACCTTCATACCCAAGAGCTGCTCCGGGCTGAATTAATGAATGCTGTGAAGTCAAGGATGTCTGTGGATGCACAGCACAATGTAAATGTAAAGTATTACTCGGTAATTATGGGTGGAGGTAACTCTTGTTGAAAAGGATTAATTTTATCATAAATCAACATTTGATCAGG